TGATTAAGGGGAGTTGAAAGGAGAGGTGAGAGCCACCAAGGCCCTCACTATTCAAGAAATTCACTTCGGGGAAAAGGTTATGCAGTATTAAGGGCACAGGTTTTGGAATCAAAAGATCTAGGTTACAACCCTAGTCCTTTTCTTTACAAATAGTGTTAATCTTCCCAAATGCAAATTAGAATATAAATAATCATATGGTTTTAAGAACTCAAAGGGTAACGGTTAGAATCTATTGAGCACTTTCTATGCACCAGTTACTCCATCTGGATTACATCAATGTTTCTGAAATTTTAATGTACACACAAGTCACTGAGGCATCTTATCAAAATGCAGATGAGGTCAGACGCGGTAGCACACGCCTGTCATCCCAGAACTTTAAGAGGCCATGGCAGGTGGATCATTTGAGGCCAGGAGTTTAAGACCAACCTGGCCAACAAGGTGAAATACAAAAATTAACTGAGCGTGGTGGTGCACGCCTATAATCCCAGCAACCCCAGTGGCTGATGCAAGAGAATCGCTTAAACCCACGAGGCAGAGGTTGCAGTGAGCCAAGATCGCACCACTGCACTCCAGCCGGGGCGACAGAGCGAGACTCTGTCTCAAAAAAAAAAAAAAAAAAAAAAAAAAAAAAAAAAAAACTTGCAGATGAATCAATAGGTCTTGGGTGGGGCCTGAGCTTCTGCATTTCTAACAAGCTGCCAGGTGGCTGCTGTTGGTGGTGATGGTTTACAGATCATAGTTTGAGTAGCAAGGGTTTATATCACTGAATCCTCACACCACACTTAGGAAGGCAAACTATTATTATCTATGCAAAGCCCACTCTAGATGGGCTGGGGGAAAAGCACAAATGCTGTCATAGTGCTGGGATTTTTTTAAAAAAAAAGACAGAAGGGAAGAAAGAAAGAAAGTAAAGCATTAGCTGGCTCGTGTATGGCTTCTCCTTATTATTCAAGGTATAGATCTGAAGGCCAGCAGCCTCAGCATCACCTGGGAGCTTGTTAGAATGCACACTCTCAGGCTTCAGGCTGGACCCACTGACTCCACATCTGAATTTTAGCAAGATCCCAGGGGATTCATGGGCATAATAAAGTGTAAGAGGCAATGGATTAAAGGGTTAGATGCAATTTTTTAATCGGTATGCCTATTACTACTGAGAATTTTTCTTGTATAAAATTAAATTTCATATAAAAATTATAATTTTAAGTAACAAAGGAAAACTATGAAATGAATTCCCTCCCCCTACATACACACATAGTAACAAGTGGAAAGAGTCTTCCTAATCACACCCTTTTTGTCAGAATGGCTCCAAACACTCTTGCTAAGATCTAACACTTTTGATTTAAGAAAATCCTAACCAAAAGTAAAAACTAAACAAACACTTTCAAGATAACTGCATATTCTATACGTTGTGAAGCACATGAAAAGTTGTAAACAAATTCTACTCCATTCATGGCTCTTGAAATTCAACGCTGGGCGTTACATATATTCTATTCAACAGATCTGCAAGGTTATATGTGCTTCTCCCATAAAGGATGTTAGGGAAACATTAGGAAGCTCAGATTCCACGTTCAAGATGTCTATTTTATCTAAGAGGTGGTACAATTCTAGAGGAATTCTATCAGAGGTAAAGAACTACCACAGAGGAAAAGAAAAGGGACTAATCAAACATCAGTCGAGGAAAGACATCTGTACTGCTTATTTGTGAGGTTTAGAAACTACCACAGGAAGAGCAATTTCTTAGCAAAATGGCAGTGGACTGTCACCTACACACAGTCTTGGGATTGGTTGGGCTTAACTGAGGAGGCCCTTGCAGGATTCTGTCCAAAGTGCTCTCTAGGGAAGGAGAAAGGGAATGCCAGTCAGAGACGAAAGGTACAGAACAGTGAGCTGTGTTGTCCTGTCTCTCACACACAAAGAAGAGTCTATGGATATTAATCCCACTGTTATTCTCAACAGATGGGACTCAATCAGTACATTTACATTTCCTAAAGACAGGAAGGGCTGAGATTCAGACCAGACTAGAGAAGAGACTTTTCAGTAATTACACATGAGCAAAGCATCCTCCCGAATCTTGGCTCACCACTTACTTGCTGATGATTGCCAGCAAGTTACTTAACCTGCATGTACCTCAGTTTCCTCACCTGAAAAATACAGATGATAATGGGACCTACTTCACAGACATTTTATACAGACTGAGTTAATATTTCTAAAGCACCTGGGTCAGGTGGTTTAGAGAGAAAGGCTGGAGTCTGCTTGTGGCAGCTCTTGAATGACTTGCTTTGGGCTGGATCTTAAAAACAACAAATCTGCATGTTCTGCACATGTATCCCAGAACTTAAAGTATAAAAAAAAAAAAGAGGAAGACATTGAAGGCTCTGGATGGCATAAAAGTCAAAGTAACACAGAATATCTTTCCAGATATGACAATGCAAGACTTTTCTTCTTTATCCTTACATCTAAATCCACTCATACATATCTTGAAAAAATGCTCATTGTCCTCCTTTACCATATTTTTTCATTTCAGTTTTTATTCATCTTTTTATTTTTATAATTGTTTTAAAATTTCTAGAGAGTTTACATTCATATTGCTTTAATAATTGTATTGCTATCATCACTAAGCCAAACTATAAATATAGTTTGTAGTCTGAAAATGTAGACCATGAAAAAGGACATTCTTTTTCCCATCCTAATTGCTATCAAGAAAAATAACTGTTTAAAGCAAGCAAGACTTAATGTATTATATACCCATTATCAGCAAAATATTAGACTCATTGAATTCATAATTTATAAATGTAAGAATAAAGAGCCCCAGGGGTATGTTCCAAATGAGGCTAGGTTCAGGAATACAGAATTAATCATCCCACCTAGTGTTAAAACATCAGATTTATTATATTTAATTAAGTAACTCAATGATCTCTATCTCTCCAACTCTAAGTTGTCTTTATACCAAGTATGGAAATACAGATATTAGCAGTCAAGGAAAGCATGCAATCTTCAATAGGATCATTTTCCTTATGAATAATTTTTGTCCTATCTAATTTTTTTTCAACCAAGTACTGCTTGCCTGGTTCCCGCCTCACAGTCTCATCTCTGAGTCCAGTGATAGTGGGGAGGGGACATTTTCTTAGAGGCTCCACCCACTCCATCAACAGGGCCTCTCCTGTATGCAGCCCATATTTAGTGTAAGCCCCCACTCAGTCCCCACACATGCTCAAGGGCGACTGAGATACACAAAAGCTTCTCCTATTCCTCCCTCAGGTGGACAATTTCGATAAGCATCCTATTAAACATGCTGGCAAAAAGGTACTGGTGGCATCAAGCCTCAGACACCCACAGCAGGCCTGGGTAGTCCCTCCTTTCCCTTTTCACTTCCAACCTCACCTCCCACATAAACTACCTGATCACAAGTCTTTTCCTTCCTTCCTTCCTTCCTTCCTTCCTTCCTTCCTTCCTTCCTTCCTTCCCTTTCTTTCCTTGTCATTCTCTCTGATGTTCTTTCTTTCTCTCTTGCTCAGTCTTTTGTGCATGCACATATCATGTCAGGCTCTACTTTTGGGGGCTGTCTGGCTACAATAGCCTGAAAGCACAAATCTAACACTGTACAGAGAAATAGTCATTTTGGCAAATTAAAGTGATGTCAAATATTTATACAAATCCATATCTATGGTCTATATTATAGAAGGGACAATCATTAAAGAAAATGAGTAGTGTTATATAAATATTCCCAATGGTAGTTTGACTTTATTTCATTCTTTTATTATTTTAAACACTATTTGGGAAAGCTTTGAATGTATACAACAGTCATTTTGTCACTGCCATTGATATTTCCCCAGATCCTGGTTGACAATCCTATATTAAATCCAGGAATGTGCTAAATTGGGAGATAAGGCAGAAGGTAGAGCTTATACCAGATATAATGACTATTGTAGCCTTTGTTTTAAATTGGGACATGTCAAAGATGACTTTTTAATGAAGATTCACTGATTATGAAGCAGTACCTTATTATCTTGGCAAAGTGATTTTATACAAAAATATCTTTATTAATAAAGAGAATGTGTTCAATACAGCTTTTTGAAAGCATCAGTACCACAGATAGAAATAATACAGAAATAAGGCATATGAATGAGGTCCAAGGTAACAGAACCATGATCTTTGTGTGAGAAAAATATTAAATAGGAAGGCATATAATCTTAAATATACTCAAAATATAAAATGCATCTGGAAACTCAGAAAACTCTATCTGAAAAATACAAAGAAGCATCTGGAAACTCTGGATCCAAGGCAGAGAAAGGAAGGAATTGCATAAAATTCAGGGCCTTCTGTGATGTCCTATATTGAGGAAAAGTAGGGAATAAAGGGACATAAAAAGCTCTGTCTTTAGTAGTTTGGGGAAATGTGTGTGGGGAGAACCAGGCACAACTAGCTGCAGTCCGTACCATGATTTCCCCCATACTGTAGATGAGGAAACTGAGGCTCAAAATAACTTTCTCATGTTTCCAAAGCTCCAAGTGGCAGAGCAGCTGAGCCCTGGACTCATATGCTGTGTCATTTGCTCTGTTTTAACCAGGGCTGTCTCCACAGTGCCTAGCATGGCACCTGCTACATATGATGATCAATAAGTGTTTGTTTGGAATAAATGATTGAATGAAGGAATGATTAAGAAAAGGACAACATGAGCACCTTTCCAGTCTTCCCTGAGGCATCAGGAGGCTACCCACACAAAAATAGTTTCACTGCTGATAACCACTCAGAGTGAACCTCAAAGCTGGTTCTACTAATATTGTAGTACCAGAGCATCCACTGTAGTATGCACAGGACAAGAAATATCTTACTGATGCCTAAAACGTCTTTAATGAGTATAGGATATTGATCCCAAATTAGAAATTAAATGCTTCAAAAGAAAATGCCTAGTGGAGATAACCATGCATTGAAAGTCGTTGCTATATCATTAATCTAAATGACCGATGACAATGTTTTCCGCTATTGTGTTAATTTGCCAGGGTGCAAGTTGTCAGCAAGTCAGCCTCCATGGGAGTCAGAGCAGTTACCAAATGGGGAAAAGGGAGCAGAAAGAAGAGGTACAAACAACGTGAAGAAACTGCAAAATTGCAAAACATGAAGAAACTGCAAAACTCTGCTTCCATGGAACAGGTTTACCTTAAACTGGGCCAGAGTAAAAAGAATCTGCTCCTAGAGGAATTCTTAAACAAGTATGACTTAGAAGACCCACAGCTCTGTTTGCCAAATTTACGAAAAATCTTCTGTTTTCCTAACACAGTCAATCTCATTATAACCAAGCCCCTTATCTAAAAGTCTCAGACTGAATATGTTAGTTTCCAGCTAGGAAAATAGAACGCTTTCTGGTTATTTCCAACTGAGTGGTAACAAAAGCATTGAAGTAAAATTTTAACAGGGAATTGGTTGCAAACATGCTGTAAGGGCTAAATGAAGAAAACAGGATGGCGGCTGTACCCAGGGCCCAGGAATTCTTCCTCTTTCTGAATCTGCCAGAGCCCCCATGGCAGAATGGGCACTGAGGTGGAGCAGGGACCTAATGCTTGCCACACTCTGACTTTGCTGGGCTCGAGAGTCACAGACTCACTGATCTGAGGGAGCCACCATCAGTGCTGCACGGTGCAGGGACTGCACATGCACTCACACTGCTGCAGAAGCAAAGGGGCTGCTGCCTTCCTTTCGCCTTCTGTTCTCAGGCGCACCTCCTTCTAGCAGTTCATAATCAAAACCCAGTGGGCAGATGAGTCTTAAAAATGAAGTTTTCAAACTTGCTGCCCTGGGAGGACAGGAAAAGCAGATATAGGGCTTACTAGTAACAAACAGCAAGTATAACGCCGTATCAAGGTGGCTTCTTCTATGGATTTTACATGTATATGTTGGAGATATACAGTTTTTACAAGGACCTACTCAACTAGTACATTTTTAATCCCTGATATTGTGCTGGTATGTGTCCAAGATGGTGTTGTTTAGGAAATTAGTCAAATATTCTGAATTACAAATCATCACATTACTATCCATGTACTTTATAAGACCTTTTAAAAATTCCTATATCATGAATTGCATTTTCATTTTCAAGGCCTACACATTGCCATTTAATAAAAATAAAGACTCAGCTTTTAAAACATGTAAAAAGTGTTTAGTTCTTTACTTCTTCATTGTTGGTATTTTTGTGGCGTTGATGAGTTTTAAAACGATAGTTCGTTTCTAAGTAGAAAAGATCTCCTTTCTTCCATAGCTGAGGTTCTATAATTGTCCTTTTATTTATAGGAACGACTCCAAAATAGTTCGCCTTTATTGAAGGGTAAGAGAAGAGATTAGGAGATTTAGTATCTTCTTGCTCTTCCAAGATTTAATTTCTGTTCTCATCAAAACTATAAAGTCCTCAAAAGTACAGGTTATGTCCCCATCTTCCTGGCTATTTCACCCCAGCAAACTGGAGGATTGAGGACACTCTGTAATTACTACAGGATAAAAGGATACTTACCGATTGTCTGGTTATTATTACCATTATGAAAGCAACATTTATTAAGTATCTATTTTGTTCATGGAAATAGGTACTGGAGATATAAAGAAATTATATATCTGCCCAAAAGGAAACTACAACTTAATAAGGGAAACTAGACATCTTTAAAGGTAAATAAAAATGTATGTTAAAAAAAAAACAATACTATCTTACTCATAGGATGAGTGACATATATAAAAATGTTAACATAGTACGAAACTAATAAATGTTAGCTTTTTTACTGTTGATGTTACCATTATGTGTCAAGTGAGTTGTGCACAGTAAATGCTACAGAACTTCAGGAAGCATCACATCTTTTACATGTCCCAGTTTAAAACAAAGACTAATCTCACCATGAGTGGGTTAATAAAAGAGAGTGGAAAGGATTTCTGAAGACTTATTGTACAAACTGAGTCCTGAAAAACAGGTAGATATTTCCAATAAGAGGAAGAGTAGGCCAATCTTTTCACTGTTCCACAAACCTCATGTCTTTCTTATGCACATTAAGTAGTTTGCTCTGATTCAAGACTGGCAGAGAAAGAATCAATTCTGAAGATTCACCATAACTCTTTAATAGACAGAGTTACATTTGTGGCAAAAAGGATAGGATTCCGGAAAGATGACATTTTTTAACTTCTACCACCTCCCTATTCTAACCCATTTTTCTCTTCTAAACCTAGCAGCTGCTAAGGCCTGTAGGTGAGGAAGGCCAAGTCCATGTACCTTCCAGGAAAAGATATCAGAGCAAGAAGCCTGAGGGGAGCTTGGCCCACAGAAGTTTCTATCTCTCTCCGTGCTTCAAGGCCTACATAGCTCATGTAAGTGTGCCCGCTCCTGAGGAGTTGGAGGGGAGACAAGCCAGTTGGCTGTCTCCTTTCTGGCCCCAGGGGCTGGAAGTCCTAACTGCAGGGGCTTTCTCACAGTGCAATAGACTAAAACCTACCTGGAACTCCTGTACCAACCCATAGGTGAAGAGACCATCAGTCTTCGCAGCTCTGGGGGTTCTCCCCACTTAAGGTATCCTAGCAACTGGACCGGAGGCCCATTGAGCAGACAAGGGAAAATAACAACACATGTAAGGGAGCCCGGAAGTCAGAGAGGAGAAAAAGTGTCTCAGAATTTTCCCTAAAAAGGATGACTCCTAATGATAACTAGCCAACACATTTATGTAACCCCCCGTCAAAACAAAAGAAAAGAAAAAAGCAAAAGATTAAAACATTCAAGATTAAAATATTCAAGGGGAGAATTTAAGGAGAAGAGGGTTCCTATGTAGAAACAAGTTAGTGAACTGAAAATCAAGCAGAAGAAATATCTCACAGCTCAAAGCAAACATATAAAAATACAGAAATAATAAGTGAAAACACAAACAACTTGTAAGATAAATATAGGAGACCAAAAATGCAAATAACATTAATGAAAGAAGACATTTAAGCTAGAAGAGAGGTAAAAATTATTTTTTTTTTATTTATTATTTTTTTTTTTGAGACGGAGTCTGGCTCTGTCGCCCAGGCTGGAGTGCAGTGGCCGGATCTCAGCTCACTGCAAGCTCCGCTTCCCGGGCTTACGCCATTCTCCTGCCTCAGCCTCCCGAGTAGCTGGGACTACAGGCGCTCGCCACGTCGCCCGGCTAGTTTTTTGTATTTTTTTAGTAAAGACGGGGTTTCAACGGGTTAGCCAGGATGGTCTCGATCTCCTGACCTCGTGATCCGCCCATCTCGGCCTCCCAAAGTGCTGGGATTACAGGCTTGAGCCACCGCGCCCGGCCAAAAAAAATTAAATTATTAAAAAATAGAAGATAATAGGAAAAAAGTCACTGCGCTGAAGGGAGAAATTGGTCTTCAGATTATAAGGGATCATCAGGTCCCACACATGCCCAAACAGCCTAAAATAGGGTAAATTTGAAAGTAAGAACATGGCTGAGACCACTTTTTCATTTACAGCTGAGCCCAGAGTAATGCCTTCCACATAGTAAGCACTCAATGAATATTTTTAAATGAATGAAAAATACTTTCTTACAAGCTTTCAGAGAGAAAGAACTAAGTATTTTAAAAGGTAAAATCAGACTGGTATTAATCTCCTCATGCAAAATTGGAAGTTAGATCATGGCAGAACAAAAAGAGAACAAAAACTGTATGCCCCAAAGGTTCCATACACAGTCTTTTCCTGTGAGACAACATTGCCCTATTAGAATGACCGAAAGATAATTGTGCACTTGCTAGTTTTTGAGATCACCCATATATCTGAAGAAAAACCTCTAAGAATGATGCTAACCAAGAAGCAAATGTATCAGGACACAGATCTCAGGATAGAAAAGAATGAGGAAGAAAAGAAAAAATAGTGAGAAATTCCCATTCATCGAGCTTATTTCCAGAATATTAAGGTGACTCAATATCAGGACACTATCAACATTATCACTTACACTAACGAATTAAAGGACAAATGTGTCATAGATGCAGAAAAGTTATCTTTGGTAAAATTCAGCAGCTATTTATTTAAAAACTAAGTAAAATTGTTATATGAAAGCAGAAGTAAAATATGCAAACACCATTTACTAATTACCAGCAGTGAATATCATTCAAAACTGTGTAATACTGAACCCATTAAAATTAAAATTAATTAAAATAAATTAATTAAAATCAATAATCAAGAGACAGTGATGCTATTATTGTCATTATTATTCAATAATGTATTGATTTGGGTAAATCCATTACCACCAAAACATTTATAAATGATATATAATATATATTATATATGTAAGTATTGGATTTCTTTTGCCAGTGATATGAGTGTAGACTGAGAAAACATAAAATTCAATAGTTTAAAAAAATGAAAATAATAAAATTAGGTAAAGTGGGTAGACTAAAAGTAGTAGGTGTTCTCCATATTAGTAAAAAAAAAACGAGAGATATAAATGGAAGGCAATGCTATTCACGGTAGCAACAAAAACTGTAAAATAAATAAAACAATAAAAGCCCTAGATGAAGAAAACCATAAAATGTTATTATAAACAACATCCAAATAAATGAAAAGACAAGCCATGTTCTTCATTGTCATATAACATGGATGTTTGTTCCCCTAAAATTTATTTATAAATGGAATGATTTCCAATCGGAATCCCAACAGGGCTTTGAGGGTCATGGGTAAAGCAACAGAACTAGGGTGTAATCTCAAGGTCTATATGAAAAATTAAATACCAAAGAACAATCAGGAAAACGCAAAAGAAGAATAGTGAGGGAGCATAAGGGTAGTCTGAAATCAAAACAGACTGGAACGAATCAGTGCTGACAGAGAACTAGACATATCGATCAGTGAAACAAGACAGAAACTCCAGAAATAGATCTCCAAATATATGAGAATCTTATATGTGATAAAGATGGTATTTCAAATAATTGGAGAAGTAGGAGTTAAGGTAATAAATGGTGCTGTCACAACAGGCTATCCTTTTTTTCTGGCCTGAAAGGAATGTTAAGAGCTGGAGTGCAGTGGCACTATCTCAACGTAGTACTAAACTAATAAATGTTAGCTTTTTTACTGTTGATGTTACCATTATGTATCAAGTGAGCTGTGCATGGTAATGCCATAGAACTTCAGGAACATCACATCTTTTACATGTCCCAGTTTAAAACAAAGACTAATCTCACCATGAGTGGATTAATAAAGAGAGTGGAAAGGATTTCTGAAGACTTGTTATACAAACTGCAACCTCTGCCTCCCAGGTTCAAGCAGTTCTCCTGCCTCAGCCTCCCCTGAGTAGCTTGGACTACAGGCACCTCCAGCACGCCCGGCTAATTTTTGTATTTTTAGAGATGGGGTTTCGCCATGTTGCCAGGCTGGTCTCAAACTCCTGACCTGAGGCGATCCGCCTGCCTTGGCCTCCCAAAGTGCTGGGATTATAGGTGTGAGCCACTGCACCCTGTCCGTAATTTTTTAAAATTAGTTAATTTTTTTAATTGACAAATAACTACATAATTAGAATGTACAACATGACATTTTGATATATGTATACACTGTGCAATGGCTAAAGTAAGCTAATTAAGGTATCTATTACCTCACATGCTTTTCTTTTGTGGTGAGAACATTTAAAATCTACTCTGCAATTTTCTTTTTTTTCAACTTTTATTTCAGGTGTACATGTGCAGGTTTGTTCTACAGGTAAATTCAGGTCACAGGGGTTTGTGGTACACATTACTTCATCACCCAGTTACCATGTACTAAGCCTAGTACCCAATTATTATTTTTCCCGAATCTCTCCCTCCTTTCACCCTACACCATCAAGTAGGCCCCAGTGTCTGTTGTTCCCCTCTTTGTGTCCATGTATTCTCATCATTTAGCTCCCATTTATAAGACAGAACATATGGTATTTGATTTTCTCTTCCTGCGTTGAGTTTGCTAAGGACAATGGCCTCCAGCTCCATCCATGTTCCTGCAAAGGGCATGATCTCATTCTTTTTTATGGCTGCCGAGTGTTCCATGGTGTACGTGTACCACATTTTCTTTATCTAATCTATCATTGATGGGTGTTTAGGTTGATTCTATGTCTTTCCTATTGTGAATAGTACTGCAGTGAACATTCGTGTTCATGTGTCTCTATGGTAGAATGATTTATATTCCTTTGGGTGTACACCCAGTAATGGGACTTCTGGGTTGAATGGTATTTCTGTTTTTAACTCTGAGGAATTGCCACACTGCTTTCCACAATGGTCAAACCTATTTGTATTCCCAGCAACAGTGTAAAAGTGTTCCCTTTTCTCTACAACCTCACCAGAATCCGTTATTTTTTTCTTTTTTGTTTTTTCTTTCTTTTTTTTTTTTTTTGGCTTTGAAATACTCATTCTGACTTGTGTGAGATGGGATTTCATTGTGGCTTTGATTTGCATTTCTCTAATGATCAGTGATGCTGAGCTTTTTTCATTTGCTTCTTGGCTGCATGTATGTCTTCTTTGGAAAAGTCTGTTCATATTCCTCTGCCCACTTTTTTATGGGGTTGTTTCTTGCTTGTAAACTTAAGTTACTTATAGATGCTCAATATTAGACCTTTGTCAGGTGCATAGTTTGAAAATATTTTCTCCCATTTTGTAGGTGGTCTGTTTACTCTGTTGATAGTTTCTTTTGCTTTGCAGAAGAACTTAAGTTTAATTAGATACCATTTGTCAATTTTTGCTTCTGTTGTAATTAATTGCTTTTGGTGTCTTCATCATGAAATCTTCACCCAATCCTATGTCCAGAATGGTATGCCTGGGTTATCTTCCAGGGTTTGTATAGTTTTGGGTTTTACATTTAAGTCTTTAATCCATCTTGAGTTGGATTTATGTATACAGTTTCAGGAATGGGTCCAATTAATCTTTTGCATATGGCTAGCCAGTTATCCCAATGCTGTTTATTGGAAAGGGAGTCTTTTCCCCATTACTTGTTTTCATCAGCTTTGTCCAAGATCAGGTGGTTGTAGGTATGTGGCCTTATTTCTGGTCTCTCTATTCCCTTCCATTTGTCTATGTGTCTGTTTTTGTGCCAACACTATGCTGTTTTGTATACCATAGCCCTGTAGTATAGTTTGAAGTTGGGTAACATGATGCCTCCAGCTTTGTTCTTTTTGCTCAGGATTGACTTGGCTATTCAGGCTCTTTTTTAATTCCATATGAATTTTAAAATAGTTTTTTTATAGTTCTGTGAAGAATGTCATCATTAGTTTGAAAGGAATAGCACTGAATCTGTAAATTGCTTTTGGCAATTTACAATTTATTGATTCTTCCTCTCTAAGATCATGGAATATTTTTACATTTGTTTGTGTTATCTCTGATTTCTTTAAGAAGTGTTTTGTAATTCTCACTGTAAAGATCTTTCCTTTCCCTGGTTAGCTGTATTCCTAGGTATTTTATTCTTTTTGTAGCAATTGTGAGTGGAATCATATTCCTGATTTGACTTTTGGCTTGGCTGTTATTTGTGTATACAAATGCTAATAATTTTTGTACGTGGATTTTGTACTCTGAAACTTTGCTGAAGTTGTTTATCAACTGAAGGAGCTTTTGGGCTTAAATGAAAACCTCACTGCTGGGGTTTTCTAGATATAGAATCATGCCTTCTGTAAACGGGTAGTTTGACCTCCTGTTTTCCTAGTTGGAGGCAATCTTGCCTGATTGCCTTTGCCAGAACTTCCAATACTATGTTGAATAGGA